AGGGCCGGATTTAGGGGAGGGCAACCGGGGCAACAGCCCCGGAGTCTCAACAACAATAGAGACTTCGGAAAAAAAAATTCTAATTCAGACTAGTAAATAATAGTAAACAACTTTTCCTTACATATTTTTTGGCGTTTTACTTTTAATATAATCTATATAAAAATAGAAATATAAAATATTGACAGAAATCAATCCTTACCATCCTCCTAAATAAATCTAATAAATAATAAATCCTAATAAATGCGAAACTTTGTATGTATGGATGAATGTCTGTTTCTCTTTCACGCAAATACTACTGAATGGATTTTAATGAAACTTTACAATAATATACCTTATACATCAGAATAAGACATAGGCTATAATTTACATACATATTTTACGTATACGCCTTCAGCCTGTTCTACGCAGACGTAGTCGCGGGCAGCAGCTAGTAGAAAATGGCCCCGAGGCCTCCAGCCCTCTAAATCCAGCCCTGTGCCGTTATCTCACTTAGTTGGTCGTCGGTCGAAACGACATGTGAAACATATTGTCAATGGTATTGGCTATGATTTTACGTGCGGCTACCCGCCTGAAGTCAAGCCTACTTGGGCACAAACACCGAGATGCGAATAAAATATCTGTGGATCGCTCAAATACTTGTCCCGTCTGGGAATCGAACCCATAACCCCCCGCAAAGCAATGAAACAGCAACTGCGCTACCGAATGAAAGTACACGAGTTGCAATTCGTCATCCACTTGTACCTTGGGACAACTTTCGCATAATCGAAAAGATTATCTTTCACACAACAGCACCCTTGACAGTGAAAGATTCAGTCTTCCTTCGATGTCAGCGTCAAACAAATCAGGAGCGAAACTGACGCGAAACGTTTTTTGGGGGATACGCAAGACAATTTGCCATTAATCATCGGAACGTTCCGCGGAGGTAACTTTAGACTTTGATTGAATAACCTTTCATGCGGCCCCAAACAAATTTATAGATTTACTTTTTTTCTATTTAATTGTTCAAATGAATCGGAAAAAAAATATAGAATTCGTCAATTTTTAATGCATTTTGTAGACGACATTATTTTTTTTTTATCAAAAACTCCACGGGACAGAATAAACTAGATATCATCAAATATAACATCAGTAAATACTTAAAAAAGCGTGAAAATTCAATTATATCAGAAATATTGCTATCATAATAGTCGTAGCTAAATTATACTAAATACGTCTCATGAAAGTTGTAAATTAACTCTTCGGTTATATACTTGTCAACCATATAATACTATGTCAACTTGACAAGTATATAATCAAAGCATTAACTGTATGTACAGAGAATCGTTAGAATACCTATTAAATAGGCTTTTATATAGTGCGATAAAAATTTTATAATTCTTATCACTTAATAGTTATATTACATTTATACTTAAATAGCACTTTAGATAGAGTTGTTAATTAACGAAATGTTATTTCAATAGCTCTTGGCATATATTAATGTATTACTCATCTATTTTCTCCATAAAACGTAACATAACGGTACCGTTGTTAAAACATGCATATAGAACGTTGTCCGTTGTCACCCGAGAGACGTAAATGTCTCATAAATAAAGAGTAGATCCGACTCAGAGTTGGCACTAAATCTGGATGAAATACACAGTCCATAACATATACTAATTACGTCAGAATTCTTGTCAAAATAAACTAAGTACTACATCGATTATGTAGTCAGATTTACATTGATGTCATGATCAGATATTGTGTTATTGTCATGTAGCTACATATTTTCAAATAAAATCGGTGGATATGTTAACCATATATTACACAGTGCGATATTGTGATTGAATCAAACATTTATCATCATATATACACCTTAAGTAATAATTTGCGGTGGTAGGGCCACGCAATCACGCAACTCTGTTGCATGAATGGGCAGGTCCGTCCGGATACCTCACAAAAGACCGGCGTAAAGTAGAAGTGTTACACTCCTGCGTTTCGTCTGGTGAGTGAGGTGGCCGGGGCTCACTTTATTTAAAGGTGGCAACGCTTGTACTGGCAACGTGTACTTTAATACGTTAACTAATCTAAAGATGCGGCAACATAAGTCGTTGATTTATTTACTCGTCAAAAAAAGTAATAAATGAAATGTAATTAAATATTTATCGGGCGCCTCGTATAAACATAAGCGGCATTCTAAAAGCATATTAACATTATTAATCATAAGGAATTTTTACTTCATAATAAATGTAGTCTTTAGAAGTTAACAACAGTTTTAACTCTACCTTAACATTAAAAAAATACTGTTAAGTATTTTGATCCGTGGAAAACACCGTTTTAATATTTATATATGTAACATTTATACACATATTTTGGAATGTAATATTTGATTATTTAAATTCATACTCATTTTCACATCATCCGACATATTACATTGTATAATTATATCGATTATTAGTTTGATAATAAAAAAAAAATATGCAATTTTACTTTGAAAAGAGCGCTATGCTAAGCCCGTAGATTTGCAGTGTGGACTAAAAGTCCGTACACAGTTAAATAACACGCAACACACATTCATACATTATCTTTTTATTTTATGTGCAATGGTTAACATAATTACATCCAATGCATAAAATAAGAATGTACAAATTTCCATCGACGATGACGGATAACTTTGTATTAACTGTAAAAATATTGTTTAGTAAATAATAACTGTAAAAATATAAAAAGACAGAGTCTTTCAGCTATCCTTCCACAAGATTCTTTTAAATATAACCCGTTGCAAAAGAATTCTGTAATGGCGAAATAATATAAGGCTTCCTTTACCACAACGCCTACCGTATTTGGAGCGTAAAACGCCTAGTAATTTTTATAGCAATAGAATCAACTCTGAAAAATGGCGTGTCATAAATAAAAATCTCCTTTGTGTATGTATGTCACTGAATTCCTCCTAAACGGCTGGACCGATTTTAATGAATTTTTTTCTGTGTCTTCTTCGGGTAGATTCGAGAATGGCTTAGATTCACAGTTCGGTACACAACAATGTTTTTTTTTTTGTTTACAAGTTGTTGTCGGATTCAAGTCGTGTGTGCAGGACAAAGTCTGTCGGTCCTCCGAGTCTTATGTAAAATAATTTACTGTCATCATATTGCAAGCAACGGTGAACGAATATACTTATTACTGCTTGCCCAGAAGTTCAACTCGTACAATAATGGAAATATTGCAAACCTATTGCAACTTAAAGTTCGTAATACGAACTATTGGCAAAGTAGGAGCGATTTCAATTTCTATTGCTAAATGTTTCAAACTGCTTTTATAATCGAGATATACATTCCATATTGTACGAGTGATGTCTAAAGAAAGTTGTAATAGTAAAACTTCAAAGCCAGCCGTCTGACGCGTAGGTGAAGCCTATGGAACTTGCGATGTTCGCATGTCGATAGTTACCGAAGTAATGTGACACCGGCATTACTTGACGCCTTCGCTTCGAACTTATAATGAGGTTTTATAACTTTCGAACAAACCATACTGTGACGTCACTTGTGACGTATCACCGAGGCGCGAGCAACGGAACTAGTCTGGGAAAACTCATTGCTGCATGCTCCTCGATTTTCAAAAAAAAAACGTAATAACGGGAACGGAATGTCGTCTATGTTAGAAAACGTTTAGTTATGAAAATATATTTTTTTTACTTACATTTAAATTTCATCTATATTGAAAATAGACACTAAAATAAAGAATAATAAATAAACAACAAATAATTCATTCCATCGCTATAAATTTTGTTTTTATTAGATAATTGAATTTGTACGAGTTTATGTAGGAGTATTAGACTAATATAAGAACCGTTATATAATTATATACCAATGAACGTATAAGAAAATTTCTATCGTTACACACATTATAAATTCTTTTCTCTAAGATAATAGATAAGTGTGCCATGGGTGTACCGGACAATTACTAAAACTAGATACGACTACAAGTCTGAACATTTAGTGAGGTAGTAATTTTGAAAATTGGACTCCGCTTACTTAGGGCGGTGTTCTGTGAGGTCGTGGTACTTACCCGGACGAGCCTGCACATTCGTGCAACAGCCGAGGCTGCTGCATGGCCCTAACACCGTGAATTGGATACGCATCTGCCAACGCAAGGGAGCTGAAGATGTTCATGGGCGTAGGTAATCACTTAAGACCTCAGAATTGCCTGATCGCTTACCAACTCATAATAAATGTCTATTGATAAAGGTAAATTCAATTTTACATTCAATTGCATCATTAAACCCAGTCGGTAATAATATCGGAGGTTATAAAAAATATTCCGTTTAACACGTTCAAGGCCGATCGCTTCTCTTTGAACATAGACACAATTTTATCGTTAATAATCCCATCGCAATCGGGTTAGATAGGATTTTTTTAGACATTAGAAGTGTTTGTATTACTTTTATCTTGGACAAACAAAAATACCATTACTTTCGTTCGTAGTTCCATACAGGAAAACCCATAAAACTTTATTAGATGGTGTCATGATCGGAACTAGACGTACCCCGCATTACCCTAAACGATGTTAGACGCGATGTTTTTACTACCTTTCTTACCTACAACTTCTTTCGCAAGTGACGCTGATTTTGCACGATACAAACTTGCCATCAGATGGGCATCCTACTGCAAAACGATCTTCGCACAGTAACGTGACCAGTTTTTACTTGATTGTGGTAGGATCATGCAAAATTCCGCTGTTGCACGTTAGCCGGGGCTCACTTCATTAAAAGGTGGCAACGCATCTGCAACCCTACAAGTATGGCAAATGTCCGTGGGCGGCAAATCTATAAGCTTTTTGTCTATTATTCGTAAATAGCAGTGAACACAAGTTTCGAAACGGTGATTGAACCAATAATTAGTAAATAATTGAAAGTAAATAAAGCAAATTAATCGAAGAGCTTAAATTTAAAGTCAAACACGTTTGTTTCTTTCATTGTGGTATCAGTACCTTGTTTAAATCTTAAATAGACAAAAGCACATCAATCAAGCAGCAACCTGACAAGACGGATACAATGTACCAATCACCAAAAATCTAAATAAACAATAAAATAAACTTGAGTGTTTTGCTAGACGTGATAAATCATAATACAAAAATAACCTATGTAAAAACTCACGGTCTTGTCGAGCAGCCAACTCGCGGGGAATATCAGCGGAACGTAAGTGACCATGTAAACCATTGAAGTCCACGAGACCACTGTGCTCTCTACGCCGTAGTACCCCACCACTATGTCCTGGATTATCGTGTACTGCATCCACTGGAGCGAGTTGGACGCAGAGTACACAACGAAGAGGGCCAGCATCACCCACCTCGACTTGTGCACTGTGTACTCTATTGCACTGACGTCTTCCGTGCTACCGTCCTTAACACTACCGCTAATATTGTATATGTCAATGGGTACTACGTCTATCGGATTAACCATTTTACTGAAGCCACTCGTCAGCTGTCGATCAACTGACACGGACATTTTACTGACACCAAAATTCTAATATAACCCAGGGCGCACGGATCATAATTTAGCCGTAGTAGACACCATGCGTGCTTCCGTTACACATGGCAACTGAGGCGATATTATATCTTCTGCTCCCAATATTTATTGTAAGTTTATTTAATTTTATCGATCATACGATTGGGGATCATTGTATCTAGATAAAAATGTCGTTAAGGTAATACCGCGACGCGTAGTACCGATTTCAGAGTTCATTGACGGCTGAAGTGACGGTGAACCAAATTAACAGTGCTATGTACGGACAAAGAATTTATAATGTATCTTAGAAAATTTACTTCCGGATTTTGGTAATGATCTTCAGAAATGCGGTTTTAACTTTGTTTTCCTCAAATCGCACAAGTTTGTAAACATGGTTGTATTGTATATGGTGTGTTACATTAATGTTTCATATAATATTATGGCATTTTCGAGACTTTTTTCAATTAAATCCATATTTATTTTGATTTATTGTCGAGTTATTTATCTCATAAACGTAAGCTTCTCCGATTTTTGTTACGTTTTGCACTCTGTTGATATATTAGACACATACTCGTATATACAAATTTTTAGGTTTTTGACTGTAATGTTGATTACTATACTTAATAAACATCTTTTTAAACTGAACTGCTTATTGCCCACAAAGCACAGCGTGTGAGGGTACTGTGGGCATATTCCAGTTTCGCAACATAAAATCGTTCTTATACTCTAAGCTAGACGCTAGATCCATATTAAAGAAAGACGATTGACTTATCTGATATTTCACTTGTAAAAATTGTTGTCCATACTTTTTTTTAAATGTATTATCTTTTTAATTGTCACTCCGTTTACACTATGTTAACAAGCGTGTGTCTCGTGCACTTTTGGATTTTCCAATTAATTTTGATTGGCAAATGTCATATTTCAATAAAAGAGGACTTTTATAGAACCATATCGCAAGCCGTCGTGTGGCCCTTGAACTTGAATCTTACTTTATTAAAAATATAACCAATCTATTACTCAAGGCTACTAGGCTAAGGCTACAATACGTAAAAACAAACAATTTTAACAGTTCATAATATCGACGTAGAGTAATATAATTTATGTTTTTGGGGTTCCGTACCCAAAGGGTAAAACTGGACCCTATTACTAAAACTCAGCTATCTATCCGTCTGTCACCAGTCTGTTTTTAATGATGCGTGATAGTTCGACAGTTGAAATTTTCACAGATGATGTATTTCTGTAGCCGCTATAATAGCAAATCGTAACAAACAGCAAAAATATATTTGAGTGCGACTCCCATACGACAGACATGATTTTTTTGCCGTTTTCGTGCGCGAGTCTGACTCGAACTTGTATATATACATATATATATATATATATATATATATATATATATATATATATATATATATATATATATAAATATCCTTTTATTAACTAATAAACATGTCGCGTAACATGCCTAGTTACATTTCTTACGATAGAAGCACTAGAAGACCACCTGTTTCGATGTTATTACATTTAAGATTGCGCAATACAAACAGAGATAAGCTAATGCGACTGATATGAGGTGCGACAACGAGTGTACAAGATGTTCTTGTAGTACCTTTGCTGATTACGCGATGCACAACTATAATTTCTCAAATGATAACAATTTGTGGAATAATCGTATCTTCAAATCCTGATAATTTCACTAGCGAATGAGACTATTAAGAGCATATATAACAAATTAGGAGCCAGAAACTTTGGAAAAGGGCCAAATTAAATAATTTAGAGAAACATGTAGCTACAAAAATTTCGACTAGCTGTTGTGACGGTTATTAGAAAATTGGACAGTGAACAAATGCGGAAGTTGAAAATATTTGCATGGTTATGCAATAACTTAAAATATATAGGTATATGTAGATCAAAATGCATTTGTAGTAGATAATCGTAAGAAATTAGACAAATTAAAAAAATACGCACACATTTTTATAATGGATTTCCGCTAAAACCACGCATTCGTTTGAAAAAAAAACCCATGAAAGCCTGTCCCTGACCATGAATACAAACAATATTCGAAACGTCTGCTGATCTAGAATTTAAATTAGGAACAATAATAAAGGCGATAAACTCTGTAAAGTATTTTAATCGAAAAAAAAAATGACTGACTATAGAGATTACAGTAAGACTTTCTTTAATAACTTAGACTGAACAATAGTACATTTAGAATAAACAGGTACCTTACCTGCGTGACCGTTTACATTTTAAGACGGTGGAAAAGATCAGTGTCTAAGCTTAGTTTGGATTAGAGATGGGTGTCATAATAGACCTTCATTAGTTTTAGGATGCAGGTACCAAGTTAACGTATTATTATTGTAACATCGATGTTAGGAAAAAGCCCTGCGAACTGGAATTTGATTTACCAAGGCCCACTTGGCTAGCTTCGCGGTCGGTGTCCCATAAAGGGGCTCTCCCATTAAAACCGCCGAAGTGCTACGATCGCTTTGACGTATTTAACGGCGGCTACAAGTTGGTCGTTAAGCTGCCGCGAATTTTGCAAATGGCAACGAAAACAAGCCCGCTAATGGTCGACGCGGCGCAGCATCGTTTGAAGTCTGATCAAAGAGTTCCACAGATCGACTTAAAGTTTATAAGATGTTTCCGTCATTCGGATGTTTACGGTGGTACAGTTTTATTTTGCATCTATAGGTACTTGTATTTGAAGTGGAAACAGCACTGATGTATATTAGATGTCATACTTGTGATGCACTTAATCGAATTTGGGATCATATACTGTTGATATTACTTGAATAACTTTGATTTGTGTTTATTCTCAACCTGGTCAACTATTATTTCAATCAGCAAATTTGCGATTAGGCAGTGAGTCTACAAATATACACAAAGACAAAAAAAATAGATCTTAATCTTAGAGATTCCCTTAAGAAGACATTATGTTGAAGGCCCTGCAGAATTCCAGCATGATCACAGCTAATGTATCATGGCGATTAAGCATGATAAAGTAACGGTAAGTAAATTATCATCCTATATAATATATCCTGCTGGATATAGGGCACAGATATACAGAAGGTATTAGGGCATGGTACATAAGATAAGCATGAACTCACCGGCGATTCTTATCTACTACTACTTCACGCATCTTCAACGTTTTATTTTAACATTCAGAAAACATGCTGGTTCCTCACGTTGTTCACCTTCACCGACGATCACGTGACAAGTCTGCATTCAAAGTTGCCGATTGCAATTCATTTAGTGCCGGCACCTCGATTCGAACTCAAGTCGCTCGAGTACAATGAATGAATAGCGAGCTGATCCCTAAGAAAGCGTGGAAACTCACCGTCTTATCCAACAGCCAGCTAGCGGGGAAGATCAGCGGCACGTACGTGATCATGTACACTATGGACGTCCACGAGACCACATTGCTCGCCACGCCGTAGTACCTCACCACCACGTCCTGGATTATCGTGTACTGCGTCCACTGGAGCGAGTTGGACGCAGAGTACACGACGAAGAACGCCAACATCAGCCACCTCGACTTGTACACAGTGTACTTGGCCACGTCGACATCCTCCGCGAGGCCGTCCATCACGCTGCCAGCCACGTCCAGCCGTGTCGAGGAGTCGCTGTCACGCATCAGGGGCGTCGGCTCCGCCGGATTGTCCAGCCCGTGCATTTTCTCATCCATCAACCCAGCCATACCGCTTATAATACGAACACGTTTAAAACTTTACCGTTTGGCCCCGAAAAGTGTAATAAGCTCGGTTGAATCTTGAAATCGTCTTAAATAACATCGACACAAGAATAGCGTTCAACGTTTAAAAAACGCTGATAAAATTTCACCGCAGTTCACCGGTGCACATACAATAGCGAGTCTTCAGCGGTTGCAGGTTCACGGACGTTTTTAGACAGCAAAAAACGCACTTACACAACGAAATTCACTAACACAGGCGGCGCTGACAAATGTATATCTGTCTCCCTCTCGTCAATCATTTGCAATTCATTTAAAGCCTACAGAGCGAATCACCACAATTGGAATTCAATTATCATTAATGCACGTTCTTTGTATGGTATGTGCGAAGGCGCACAGAAATCTACGCGTATTAAGCAAACATACAATGACGCCTACAAAAGTGTAAGTTTACTCGTTCATAGCACAATATGGCCGATAAGGCTCGATAATAAAGTAAATAAAGTTTAATTATAACTTGTTACTTAATCAGTTACGGTTTGCATTCGCAAGTGGAGGTCAGCTGATGTGTCGTAATAACGAAACTGTTGAATATTGGTTTCCGATATCGTGAAGAAAATATAACAAAAAATAAGTTATCTCGTAATACATCGAGACCCGAATTAAACATCTCAAAGTCAAATTGAACCAAATAAGCCAGCTTTGGGTAATTGCTTTATTTTTTTTTTCAAAATGTACTTTCTACCACTACATTTACACAGTGATACATTTTTTTAAAATGACACTTCATCCTGTAATAAACTAACAAAATTCGCCTTAACACTCCTCTCAAATGATTTTTAATAAAGCTTAAAAAGTGAGGAGTAAAAGCAGAATTGCTGCGGATAACTGGCCGTCGTCATTGAACCAGAAGTGTTAAAGCTTTGAGTAACGTCAGCAGAGATAGTTAAGAGACGTAAAATAAACCAATAAGACGCGTGTACATGACTCATAAATTAGAACTAAAACTTATGTCAGGAGAAAATCGAGCGCGTAACTACTTTCTTATTTAGCATTCAGCTAACGCATCATCCAAAAAATCATCGTCATTTATCAAATATCTCAGCGAACACTGTTTGTCACAGATACATTATGACTGTGTTTTTACTGATTGCCGTAAACTAGTTGTGGCATTGGCAATAAATAAATTTATTAGGAATGTTCTATACTGCTAGATAGTTTAACATTATATTTTAGTAAATGATAACTTATTTGCGCTTTAAATATACTACTTATTAAGTAGTATATTTAAAGCGTTAACTTAAAGTATTAACTTTATATTTAAAGTATTAACTTTAAATATATAAAGATTAACTGCCTAGATAGCTCCTTAGAAGACTAATTTTTACACTCCTGTTAGACCGTAAGCAGAGTTAGACACTAATGTATTAAATAAGTCAATTCAAGCTACATCATCAATTAGAAGAAATGAACATTTTTTGGAAATCTATATTTTTATTTATTCACAATTAGCAACACATACAAAAAAATCTGAACAGGTGCTTTCTTTTCTAACTGTACCGACGAAGCGTTATTATTAAGAGATATTGAGCAAATTCGTAAAGTGAAATGGCGCGAGCAAAAATACTAACTGGCTGTCGTAATCTTTCCACCCTATTTACGAAGCCAGGTTCGAAATAAAATAATAATTTTATGTTGTTTTTTAATTCTTCTCATTTATTACGTTGGGAAATATCACAGATAATATTATAAAGGTGTAACACATGGCAGAGTTCGATATTGTTAAGAGTTACAATGCATCTTTATTTTTGTGTCATTCGTGCTAATGACAAAACAAGATGATCGACTAATGAAAAGTCGACGTAATACTGCAATGAATATAAATAAAAGCTTTTTAAATTATTATTTTTTTGTGACAAATGTAGTTTGCTATCAGCCCGGCGCCTATGACTGCTTCGGCGGAGCGGAAGAGGTCCGCAAGCAGTTGACCCACGGATTCGGGAGAACAACGTAGCTGGTGCACGAAGACGACACGAAGAAGCCGTCCGCTCAGCTGCACTCCGCAACACCCTGCTAACGAAAGATGGACCATCGACTAACAGGGGTCCATACGTTAATCGAGAATGCAAGGGTAAAATTACGGTGAATCTGCCAAAAGTGTACCGTGTAAATTACCTTATTACCTATTATGACGGTATACGGTAATGCGTCAATACCTTGACGGTAGTTATAAACCAGATTACGGTGCATCTACGGTAATTACCGTGTATATGGGTCCATAACACGATTCAAAGGCCAAAAGTATCGTCAACAACTAAATATCCTAACAACGAACTGTATTCCGATTACAGTCATGTGTGTGAGTGAAGGTAGGCGGGGTAGGCGGGGTAGGCCTTTTTTATAAGATAAGGTGGAAAACGAGAGCATCTTTTCAACTGATGGGAAGTAAATTCCTCGAACGTCCCCCAGGCGCAACAACAGATGGATTTCATGTGTGTTGCCAACCTATAGAGGATCCTCGGTTACCTCACTCGCCGTAACAATGGAGCACAGTGTAAATACTTATTATTTTTGCCGCTCTTCTCGCCAGCCGTTCAGCAGTGAGAACTGCGCTGAGGCGCTACAACAGTAAACATGGCACACAAATTTAACGGTGGTAGAGCCACGCAACAGTGTTCTGTTGCACGAAAGGGCAGGTCCGTCCGGGTTAGTACCACGACCTCACAGAAGACCGGCGTAAAGTAGAAGTGTTGCCCTTCTGCGTTTCGTCTGGTGAGTGAGGTAGCCGGGGCCCACATTATTAAGAGGTAGCAACGCATCTGTAACCCTACGGGTGTTGCAAATATCCATGGGCAGGCAGTTATCACTTAACATCAGGTGAACCACCAGCTCGTATGCCACTTCCTCAAATAAAAAAAAATTATGTAAAAACTTGGCAAACAACCAGGCGGTCTGACCACCGCCCATGAAGATATACAGCACCTGACAACTTTTAAAAAGGTTCGCCCCGGCTACCTCACTCACCAGACGAAACGCGAAAATATTATACTTCCACTTCCGCTGGTTTTCAAAGTAAAGTTTAAAAAGTGGGCTTTTATTGTGAAATTTATTAAAGGAAAGTCTAAAATATTTTTTAAAAGTACTGATAGTACCAACGCAACTACAGGAAAATTAAATTTATTCACACGTCGTAATTAGCGTATTAGTAGGAAAATATGACTATCTATCCTATGCGTGTGTTAAAAAATATTTGTTCGCTGACAGGATTGTCATTGAGTGTCACTACTCCCTATCACAAATAAACAAATTGCCGCTGAAATGAGAAATTGATTTTTTAACGCTGTAAATAATTAAACTTGAACATGTAGCAACTCTTCAATACTCACTCACATTTCGGTCACACAAAAAAGTGACTAGAAAGAGACAGATATACAACAAACGTCGCTAAGTACTAAAGAACCAGCTGTTTACTTCGGAAAGCAATAATAAAGGCAATTATTGACATATTATAATGATTGCCTTTGGCCGAACGCATTCACTGCGTTTATGCACACAAAATTTGACCGGAATCACTCACACACAAAATCACAGCGTGTAACAAATCGAAAAAACGCCGACCGCACTTTCTTTTGCACGCGCCGAACTCGTTCGTCTGACGGAACAACTACGGAAAACACACCGCGTGTATAAATTGATTTCGATTATGGTCCGATGCGCCGAACCAATAAACTGAAAGGCACTCACATACGCTATGAATAGACAATGTATTTATTGTTTTGAATTGGTCCTTGTAGGTTATGGCGGATCGGCCGATGACAGGCGCGCGCCGACTGAGCGAACGCGCATGCGCGAACTTGTGTGGATTAGCTCATTTTGGCCGAGGGGAATAATGACATGATTTTAGTATACGTTGCGTAGAAATTTTTATAAAACCATAATCTGTATTAGTAAAACGTTATTAACCAAAATTTTGGGTTCATCTTGCGTGACATAGCGAGGGAGTTACATTAATTCAAAGACTATGAGAATATAAAAAAATAATTAGAAATGCGGAACAAAATATAGGCATAGGTAAAACCTCGAGTAGCACAGATATATAGATTCATGTGTTGGCTTTATATGTACAGATAAACTATAGATGTACATATAAGAATATAATTCGAAATCTGAAAAATCTGGCACACTGAAATGCATCATGAATAATACCTAACAAAAATAAAACGTAATACAAGGGTCTGTGATATGTGTAAGACACTCAAGGGCAACCTCTTTTTGCACAAACAAGTCCACCTGACGATCCTCTCAAATAGAAAAGAAATTAAGGTTATTTATGCTCTTTGTTACTATGATTACCAATTTCTTCTATTAAATAGTGGTCGCTATAATAATTTATTATTATTTGTGTTTAGGTTGTAATCCAAAAAATGAAAGTTAGACATTATAACAAATCTGATACTACTTCTGGTTAGCCTTCCGGAATGATAATTATGGACGAGACTAAGATAAGAAAATATTTTGAATTTTGCCTTGTCGACTTTTATAATTATCGAGAGATATCTACCGTGTATTGGATTTCTATAATGCAATACTGGCAATTTACAACCCCATTTAATGCTATGCCCACGCAATGGCAATCAGTGCCATCAATACATAAAAAGTATAGTAGATAATATACATAAGAACATTTCAATTTCTTACTATACTCACCGACTTAATTCCCTTTCTTTTCTATAGGCCTTAAGTGTTGCCGTCGTCCGGATTCCTAGAATGGACAATAAAAGCCCCAACCTTGAGCGGCAAAAAAATTTAAGATTATTTGTAGGTAATAAAAAATACTCGTGATTTTGAGTGGATGGAGGGGGGTTAGTCTTAAACCTCACTAGGTATCACCACGGGGGTGGAGGGAGGTTAACAATGCTAAAAAACATCACGTGATTAATAGACGGCCCCCAAGCACGGGATCCCCGAATTATTTTGTCTGCTTATGGGATGCTATAAAAACTAATAAA